GGGGGGGTTAGTAAAGCGTTGGACGAATCTGTTCCGAATCTGAGTCTCCAAGTTTGAGTACACCTCCAGGTTCGTTTCTGTAGTGTCTGGGAAATTGTCAAATCTCTGCTCAGGGGGCTCTCGTGGCCTAGAGGTTAAGGTGTTGGCCTCTAATCCAAAGGGTTCGAATCCGGGTTGCGACCGAAAAATTTACGTCTCTAAAACTGTCTCCTTATACCTCCTTTCCTTTTCTCTAGCAATGTTCTGTCGTCTGCTTTCGTCTCCTCTTTCTGCCCCCCACCCCCTCACCTCCTTTGCCCCCTTCTCAGGGCTCCTGACTCTTTCTGCAGCCTTTCTACTGCTACTCTTTGTCTCCTTCTTACTGCTGTCTTTCAGCCACACCCCTGATCTTCTGTTAGGAAAGATCTACACCTTTTCGGACAAGGGCGAAAAATCTCGGACGGTCTGCGTACAAGTTGCGCACGTTAAAGGTCCCTTGGTTGGTGGTCTAAAATTGATAAGAGTAGGCTTCAGCCGCCACCCGGACAAAATTCATAATTTCCTCCAACTGAAAAAGTTTAATGTGTCCCGTGCGCTCATATGACCTTATGCAGTTCCGAGAGCCGTAATATACTTTTCAAAATTAAAAAAAAACCTCTGCTCCTTGATTTGGTATGTCATTGTCACGCTTATTAGTCTCCTACCTCGTCCAACGCTTTTAGATTGCTTAAAAAGTTGCTCCAAGTTGTTTCAAACGGAAGTCCGCAAATTTGTAACGTCCATTTCTAATAAGATCAGACAAGCGGAAGGAAGCCACGAAATCTCACCAAGCAACCTCAGTTAATAGATGTCCTGTTTGGTGACTCAAACCAGGGCCACCCACAGCAACCCCACACGTCCTGACCTGCTACAGTATAGATCTAGCGTTGACACGACTGGACCAGTAAAGCAGAACAAGTCAGCAGTTTCTATAGTAATTATTTTTCAGGTATCCTTTGTATCGAAAAGAAATCAAACGAGGAGACCGCGTGGGATGTTCACGAATAAGAACAATTAGAAAGCGACAAACTTAAATGTAGTTTCTAAGACACTGGAATTGACACACAGGCTTTGAAAATCTTGCTCTCACTGAAAACATAGATTTAATAGAAGGAAAAAGAGGCAGGCGGCAAATGTAGACCCACAGAAACTTATTTGGAAAACCTGAACAGATGGGTAACGGGGAAACACCAGGATAATGCATGTACATGATGTTTTAGAGCATCCGAGCGAAGAAATTAATAGAAAACCAGATTCGCCGATGTCTGTTTCAGATTTGGCACTTTATGATGATGACAATCCTTTATATTGCACAGGGGATCGGCGACAGTTCCCAAGGGTTCGCCAACTTCGTCATCTATTGCTTCTTCACAAGCAAGATCAGACGACGGCTCCAGGACAGCTGTGTGAGGGGATGTCACCGCTCCTTGTGTACGAGGGGGCGTCTCCGCTCCTTGTGCACAGGACGACCTATTGACTCCGCCCACTCATATTCATCCAACTCACACGAGGCTGGTAGGGACAAAGCTTCTAGCAGAACTGCGCGGGGTTCCAATCGAGTACAGCCAGGTAAGCGCTTTCTGCTTGTTGGAGTAAACAGAAGCGCATCGACAAATTAACAGTTATTTGGCTTTGAGATAAAGAAAGATAACCAGAACATAATTTAATATAGAGGGAGCAAAAATAAATAGGACCTCTCAGTGGCGACCCCCTGACCCCAAAACCTATTCTTCCTTCACAAAATGTTACCACCTCGTCAAAGTTGACCATTTTTGTCACCCTTAGTGATTATGTCAGTTTGGCGATCCGTTTGACACAAACATTTTTACGATGGTGCAGATTAAGCAGAGTGTAACAGTAAAAGTCGACAAGTAACAGTAAGAAGGAACAAGAGAAGACACACGACACACACAGTGAACATAACACTTGTTCTTCTGAGCATAGACATTTATGGCATGTCTTTCCCACCACTGAGAGGGGTTGCACTGCCTGCCTGTGTACCATCAGTCAAGTCTGGCATTCCCGCGCTCATAAAAAAAAGAGCTAAAAAGGAGGGAGTTTGGAGGGGGAAAACAAGGGGGGGGGGGTGTCTTCGTTTGGAATTTCGCTTAGCCTCTAATTGTTCTCTCTCTCTCTCTCTCTCTCTCTCTCTCTCTCTCTCTCTCTCTCTCTCTCTCTCTCTCTCTCTCTCTCTCTCTCTCTCTGTATATATATATATATATATATATATATATATATATATATATATATATATATATATATATATATACATATATATATATATACGTGTTTATATCTCGTTTTAGAAGCGATGCATTTCTTACATTGGTTAGACAGACAGACTGACCGACAAAGGAGGCGGATGTGTATTCAAATACCTTATGTACGTGTCTATGAGTATGCTTCCTTGTATACAAAGCCATTTCTTGTTTTATCCCTTCTTCTCTTTGTGTGTTGCAGAAAGGAGAACCAGTATCCAGGACAGCCACCCAAACCTGAACACACTCCCGGGAGTTCCTTCTTTCTCCTATCCAAATTCCTGGAAGCCGGACTCATCAGTTGAACGTGCTGCTATCCAGGTCCAGCGAGTCGTGCCCGTGCGGGCTCCCTTTGATCCTGTGCCAGAGGAGCAGACAAAAATAGCTGTTCCAGGAAGTGAGAGGAACAAAAACAGAAGCACATCATCAACCTGTCATAGTTGTTCTTGTGAGGGCAAGGAGTCTAAGCTGTCAGTGTGGACTATAGAATCGAGCTAGGTGCACACGAACCAGCTCTCAGACTTTTTCTCTTCTCTTGGGCGAAGAATTGAAGAGTGTGGCCCAAGTTCGAAGCTGCTGCGAAGGAAAAAAACTTAAAATCCACTTCTCCTCTCATAGAAGGCTAAGCTGTTATGGCGCAATGACACCCCATCCCCTCACGGGTGTTCTACAACCCTTGACAGTTCTGTTGACCATCTTGTGGGAGATAACTTCACCATGCCAGACATGCAATTACAACATGATTCAAGATGTCATTTTTTTTGAGTCAAGCGAAATCTGAAACTCCTGACACCTCGTCAGGACACTTTTTGTGAATAATTTTACATATAGCGTGCGCATGGGCGTAAACTGGGAGAATCAGGAAGATTCCAGCCGATACCGTTTTGGTTGGATCTTTGCAAATTGGTAATACGGATTGTCATTTGGTGACAACAGACCACTCCCCTACCCTCACCAATTTCGGTGTTCACACTCTCCTGAAATACCCACACAGTGTGAGTCTGACGTCGTAATTGCAGCAGGTTCAGAAATGGGTTTATCACTATAGTATAGTTTTTAGTGTTCGCTTCGGACCAACAAGTTGAAAGAAAACGTATTGAAAACAAGATCTAATTGTGTTTAACTGAAATACAAAATCCTGTGCAACAGTACTTGTGCCATCGGCACTTGTTTGGTATGGAGGAACACATAGGTAAAGGACCTCCCGGGGAAAAAAACATATTTTCTGCTTTCCGAACAATGAAATGGGGAACAACGTTGCAGGTTTCAGCGATAATTGAAAGCAAGATGCGTGCCCCCCCAAAAAACAACAACAACAACAAACAAAATAAACAACAACCAACAAAAAACGGGCGTCATTGTCCAGAGATTCTTGAGAGAAAGAATACTATTTTTGTCGAGTGGTCGATTCTCAAAGAAATTCAAGCAACGTAGGCCTACGGATGACGGCTTTGAGACCAGTAGTCAAAGGGGTTCGTTCTTCAGCAGGACACGCAGACCTTTGTTCAAAACAGGGCGCTGCGGTGCGGCGACCAACAATGGTATATTTTCTTCGTATATTGTGGATAAATAATGCTCTTGACTGTGTATATGTATCGTAAACCTTTAAGCTCGGAAAAATAAAAGTTGTCTATTACCAAAACAAAGAGGGGAAGATTTGAGGTTTCTTTTAACGACAGTGAAGTTTCTTTAAAAAATATAAAAATTTCATATTCTCATTCAGGGACAAAAAGCTACAATGACAGATTCACAAGCGGGCATAATTATGTTCTCCAAGTCCATGACTATCGGGATTCGACTACCTGATCCCACTCACGTCTGTCCTGCTAGTGCCAGGACATTCGGATCCCGTCTCGGGTCAATCGGTCACCTCGGTACAGAGTTCCAGACCCTCAGAAATATCAAAGCCTACTTTTCTTTCTTCTCTTTCTGAGTTAAGAGAAGCCAACACAATGACGTCAACACAGCAGTGCAGGAATAAGCAAGATAGACATAAATCGCAGACAAGTTGGACCTACCAATGGCACCTTTCAACCACCTGTGACAACCTTCTCTTCACACACGATGGACAACCAACAAACACTACATCACAACATTTATTGCCATGTCTGGCGGCAAAGTATTTGAAGACACATAATATGAAGTTGTAAGGCATTCGCAGCCTCTTTTCTTTAATTTATTTTGCAAAACATAAAATATTGATAATATGACACCATAAACTAATTCAATCATATACTGCAAATCTACCTATCAGTACATGACCCGTGTTGTTTGTTAACAACCACTGACAAGTTGACAATGGACATCTCCAGTATTTAGGGTTTGCAATAAATGGGCGTACATGTTGTTAATGTTTTTACATACATGTTGATATGTACTTGACAACATCATCTATGTTTTGTCCCCGTGTCTTTTAGTGACATAATATATATTTTAAAAATCTTGGGGAGAAAAACAAAAACAACAGCCCAGTCATAAAATTTGAGTGTTTGTTCAAAAGGAATTCAAGGGATACACAAAATGGAGGGTATGTGACTGAAAGAAAAATAAATCTGCAAAATGACTTAAAGGAATCACTCTTGAACAAAAAGCATTCCAAAAAGGAGCTAACCCTCATACAATCTGCTTAACTTTTCCACACTTTACGGCCAATACTAGTCATTACTAGCAGCTACATGAAGACATGAAGGTAGAGTAAGACAATATCAAAATGAAAAGTACAGACTAAAGCTGTCAAAATTAAGCTTAAAATTGACAAAAACTTCCCCTGTATTCTTTAACATGACAATAAGGCAAATAAAATTGATAACTGGCCAACATTCTAAGTCTCCCTAAAAACCCAAATTGAAAGGTATTTCCAAAGTTAAATAGATAACAACAACCATGAAATCTGAAATAAATGCAATTTTCTACCCTATTGTGTCCCTCAAGTTCATACTAACAGAAATAATGAAGTCCACACTAAATACAGAATGTCTGATTCTATGAGGAGCAAATTGCATAAAGAGCACAAAACCTCTTCAAATACTCCGAGAAGCTGCTTCAGGGAACAAGCAGAGCAGAACATAGTCATAGCAGGGGACATGAGAAAAGGCACTACGAGACACATGGGTGAACTTGGTGAACTTAACGATGCTGCAGGGGGGGGGGGGGGGGAGATCTAGAGCCTCAGAGAGGGGCCCACTCCTTCCGTGGCTGTACAAAAACATCAGAAAATATATGCAAAAAGAGGAGGCTCTTGGGTTTTGGGTGCTCCACATTCACTATACAAACAACTGAAAGCCATGACTCAAGATTCACATCCTTTCACTACCAGTCTGAACTCTTTTTACAAAACTGTGCTTCCTTCCAAAATGGAGAAATATTAACATAAAATGGTCAGAAAAAGCACAGATTTAAGTTGATGCTGCAATTAACTTCTCCATTACAGTATGATGACAAGCTATTACTAAAACTAGCCTTCCCTTTTATGAAGCAAAAACAGGATATGACATATGAGTGAGTGGTGGCTAGTAGAAAAATATCAGAGGAAGTGGCAACAAGTCTTTTTTTGTGTGTGACAACCACCAATAAAGATAAGGGCATACGTGGTATAGGGAAAAATGTACAAAAGCACACTAGGTGACAAGACACAAGAGCACTCATGACGCCATCCAAAACCCCAGAACAATTAGAGAAAAAACAAAAACAAGCAAGAGCCAGGTAGTCGGGATAGTATCACCAGTCATTCCACTGCCCAAACTGGACATGTTAACAGAACAACAGCCAACATAGTCAACAAAAAAACAAAAGAGAAAAGCCCGCAAACTTCACACATCGCTGGTGAATCAACAAATGCCAGAGAACATAAACTCAGAGGAAGGAATGTACAGGAACCGGAATATGGATCTGATAATTGGGTTAAGGTTCTGAATGTGTTCTGCAATGGTTAGTTTGAGGTACAACAATGCTCATCTTCTACACCTCAAAAGCCATCCCCTTACTTTGCATGAAAAGCATCAACAAAGCTATTCTTTACAATGAGTTGGTATTACAACTGCCACATTTTGATACATCTTGAACACAACAAAGCTACAGCAAATATGAAAATATTTTTGACAAAGAAACAACATCAACCTCCGAAATTGGGTCTAGATGTTTAAGTCAGTTTGGATGCGTTGTAGCAGTTTCCTCCTGATGGCATGCTGTGCAATGTTGTATGTTAAAATAGAGAATGAGAAACATAAGTCGGTCATCAACCCACCTGTTCTCAAGCACTTTCAGAGGCACAAAACTCAGAGTGAGTTTTACTGGCAGACAATGATCATTATCCCATGGGATCACCCAAGAAACAAGATCCGTCTCGTAAACAAACTAGTGATAAGGGAAAAATCAAAGGAATTCAATGGGCCTGCTCATTGAATCACTTTGCAACATGCAACATCAGTTCTTTAAAAAAAAACTAATTAGTGATTAGAGACATCTTTAATCAACTTTAGAAGAGGCAACGACTTCTGGTTCAGTGAACGGTCAAACACATTCATTTGCTGAAAATCTAGAAAGAAGAATTCCATATAGTAATGTCCGCCGACTGACTGGGAGTCATTCTCTTTACAAAACAAATGTTTTAGGGGCACATAACCTTCCTTTGAGCTACTCAGAGAAAGAACCTTTGTGATAGTTATTTACTGCGATAGCAGATATCACCCACACAAAACACAGGTCATATCAAATGTCCAAACAAGGGAAAACAAATCTAGGATTTGCCCTGAAATTTCAAGACTTTATCAAAGTAGGTTTTAGAGTAAACGGGGCAACCTGAAGCATTTTTCATCTCTCCAAAGCCAAGTTACTAAGAAGTATGATCAAACAATTTGCTCATCCACACTTCTAACCCCCAGCATTTACAAAAAATTATAATACTATATTATGTGTCACGACACGTTGGAATCCGGCACTCGTCAATTTTAGGGCATACAGTTATTGGTATCATCTGAAAGCTGATTTATTTGCCTTGCTTCCAATGAAATAAATATCCATTTATCTTGAATAGAACTCAGGATATCCGCATTACAGGGAAGTGAGGTCGCCTGATTTCAGCGGTGAAATTAGCGAGAAAACAGCCGCCAAAGTTCGGCAAATCCAAAGGCTAAAGTAAAGAGTCTTTGAAAACTGAAAGATGACATATTTTGCGCCTTTAAAAAATATTTTTCAGTAAAGTTCACATGGAAATGTGTTTTTATCTAAACATAAAAGAGGTTAAGCAAAAAAATAAAAATTCACAAAAAATTTCAGGACTAGAGGGAAAAAGGCCTGTTTCTCCGATTTCGTTATTTTGATGAGCGCCTGATTTCACCACGCTGCCTCACATATGCCTGGAGGGAAAAGTTCAAAGGAGAGCAGATGTGTTCCAGCTTTGAATGTATTATGTGTTAGGAAAAAGTAAAGTCAACACAGAGTGTAAACATATAATACATACATATTTTTTTTTCTGTAAACAATTTCCATTGTTGACACATGTATGTATTCACAAGTCAGAAATTGTATTCTGAAATTATTGATGTTAAAGTAAGCCTACCCTAATGGAGTGACAAAGTCCACCCTATTATAGATGTGTAACACAGGGGAAAAAAATAACAGAAAGAAGCACCTGACTGCGGAAATCACTCACAACCACAACCTTTCTGGAATGCACTGTACAAATATGAGGGTAACATAAAGAACTGCTGTCAATAACTTACTCACACATTTCTTAGATAAAGCAAGCAACTTCTACATATCAAATAGTTATACGATAGTAATTGGTAAAGTTTACATTAACATTGTAATTATATATCTGTGATTTTATCCCTGCAGGTACACCACAGGGCAAACAGTTGATAACAAAACTGGTTGTCTCTATTGCACTACATAACAAACTGGTTAGCTCCTCACAATGGGGTGTGTGCAGTGGGTTTACGAATGAGTACAGTGTGAGCGGGTTTATTTTTTTGTTTGTCTTACAGCAATTGGCTGTGGCAATCATCTAGGGCAGTCTAACAAGAAAGAAGAAACTCTGAGCATTATAATTTGCTTTTCATAGTGATTTTAAGGCGGGGAACTCAATGAAACTTATACAGAAATGAAGCCCATGATACGCGTTTTCGATTGGTGAATAAGAAAATTTTCGCGCCAAATTCATGATACGCGGATCTGGCTCTTATAGAACAATATGTAAACCTGTGGTTAAGACAGTAGAGCTAAAAGAAAAAAAAGGTGAAGGGCCAGTCTTTGTAACATAAAGGTGAGAGATAGGGTTGCACACTATGGTGCCATTGCACACAGTGCTTCAAGTACTAGATATATCAGTGTCAGTGATAATGTCAGTAATAGATTTGGTAATTGGACCTCTGAGAGCAACAGACTGTGCCAGGAACTCAGCGTTGTGTCTTTTGGTGACTTTAAGAAGACACACAGTTTCCAGTTGGAAAATAAAATGGCTTTAATAACGTTAGGACCCTGGCCAGTAAATACTGGTTACCCAAAATGACCCTGAATTCAGAAATGGGGTTGAAGCGAACAAAATGTTTACTGCGAATGTGAGAACTCCATCTACAATTTTCAGGCAAATTTTTCTTCTGTAAAACACAAAATTCTGATCTGTAAGTCTGAGTTGCAGTACAATCTGAGGTTCTCCGTACGGTCTGTTATCAGTTCATGCAGACTAAGTGCTACGTTATTCACATTGAGTTTTTTGGTCACTCCTAGTGTACATGGGGCCAGACGGTGGGGGAGAGCAGCTTGGCCCACCCCTCTGTGATGTCCACCATGGTATTTGTGGGGGGTCATGGGCTTGGCACAGAGCATTGTGAACTCTTTGTATTGTGTATATTATCTCCCTTCTTTTGAGTTTTCAATGACATGAAAACTTAGTTGACACAGTAAAGTCATTTGGAAGGCGGAAACAAAAAGGGAACAGAAAAATCAATGTTCCATGGAGACGACATAATTTACAATTTATACATAAATTAACAATTTACGGTCAGAAAAACAATTTTTTAAAAGTGAATGATTATCCAGAATTGAAGCCGCCCCACTGACATAAACAATGCTGTCATGAACGGACGGTCCAATCTATGACTATAAGATCAAAGGGATATCGACCAATCCATAGCAATAAAATTACTAATTTGGTATTATCATGTAAATTTTTACCAGTTCTACAAGTATTATGTAAATCCTTAGTGAAGAAAGTGAACCTTTGTTTTAAAAAAAAGCAAAAAAGCTCCCAAAGCTCTGGGTCAAGTCCCAAGTCACATCATGAACTTGTTGGGTTGTATTACCTACTTACAGAAACAAAGCTCACGATAGGTTATGTGTATGTCCGTTACATCATCATCATCACTTCAATCACAATTTTCATCAGGCAAAGAAAATATATAGTCAAACCCGAAGTAAGCGTCACACTTCAGTGTATAAGATGAGTTGTAAATGCCAGTCCATTTCCAGCATGGACAGGACATTTATTGATTACAAAAAAATGTAACAAAAACATAGCCCAAATGGTGAATATCAAGACTGAAAACAAAGACTCTCAAAATGTGAGATTCTCATGAGGCTCTGGCAAGACATAACACACTTTCAGCATCTTTTTTTATCTTCAGTTCTCATGACTAGCAAGCTCATTTTAAAAATTACTTCTGAAACTTTTCACTGTAAATCTGGGGTAAACACGAGATTGCCAAAACGTGAGGGAATTCTCCGTCTGTTTAAATTCAGTTCAAGCTTCCACAGATGTACAAATGCAGCGTGAGCTAATATCTGCTGTGACCATCTTCTTAATCTTGTTCCCATTGCCTTGCAATCAGGTCAGCATCCTTGGGCCAGTCCTTCATTCCTTCCAGCATCTGAATGGCAGCAGGTGGGGGTTCTACTAGAGGTCAACTTCATCTGGAGATGTCTCTCTGACCATGCTCGGTTTTCACCTGAAGAAGTCAGACAAAAGGGAAAAAATGGATAAGATATTTTCACACTGAAATTTATAAGGCAAGATGACATCAAGAGCATGATAGCAACAACCTAACATTTTGTACAGAGAAGGTTTATCTCCATCATAAATTTAAAAAACTGAGGTACTGTTTTATAATGATCAATACAACTACTTATTGACATATGCAGAAAACTTACCCCCCTCCTCCCACCCAAACATGACCTCAGTGAACTAAGTCCATCTTGTATTACGAATACTAAAAACCCATTTAAAAACAATTTTTTAAAGCACAATCTGTTGACACAAAAAGCAAGCGCAGCATTGGGAAACCAAATAAATTTTTTAAGGACTTTGAATTCAAAACTGAGAGAAAATTATTTTATTTTTACAGTATCAATATATTCATAAAGTTTAATAGGACAATGGACGGTGACTTCAATATAAAATGAATCTAACAAAAGGCTCATCCAAATTAGGTTTCTTGAAACAGTTACGTTAACCTATCCATCACAAAATTATGATTTTAAAACAATAAGGCTGAAACATACACAAAATTACTGAGCTGAAATTGTTATGGCTGGAACTGAAAGAAATGCTTGGGGATAAAAAAACCTATAATTTATGAATTCATATTTTAAAAAGTATATACGTTTTTAACCCAAGAATGTATAAAAAACTCTGGCCAGTGGCATCGCGGAGACTCACCTAAGCATTTAGAAGTAGATGATTTCCCCTGCTGTGTTCTCTTTGCCTTCAGACTTGGCCACTGGGGCCCCTGGGGGTCCTCCTGCTGGTTGAGGGGCAGGGGCTTTAGAGGATGGGTTTGCGCCAGAGGAGGACGCTTTCCCTCCCTTGGGATCTGCCAGCTTCATGATGCGGGCCAGATTAGAGGGGGCGCTGCGGCTGTTCTCATTCTGTAGCTGTCCCGCTGGGTTCTGTCCATGTGCAGCGGCAGCGCGAGAAGGCGCGCTCATCGACTGTACGCGTGAGATCCCCGTCGAGCCTGCTCGGCCAGGGAAAGGCTGCTGAACGCCAGCAAAGAATGCTGCGGAGGGCGCGACACCAGTTTGCTGCTGTGATGGATTAGACGAGGCAACACTATTGGAGCCCGCTAGTTTGAGCGGTAAACGCTGAACATTGGCCCCGCCCATCCGCTGCTCATTACGGGCACTCAGTAAATGCACGGGCAGCCCCGACTGTTTGGCTGCTGCGGAGCCTGAGTGTGCCGCTTGGGTTCCCAGATTTCCTACCGACAGTCTGGGGTGGCGGGTCAGTCCTCTGTTGGGAGGCTCCCCTGTGCCCAGGTTCTGACCACTGTTCTCTGAGTCAGCGACAGTCACGGTGTTGTAGAAGTCGGCAGATGCTGAGCGACGGTGCACAATGGGTCGCTGCTGAGAGGGGTCTCCCCCCTCTACATTGTCTAGGTCAATTTCATTCACATTTTGTTCTACGAAAGAGCCAGAGCCCAAAAGGCCTTGCTCTCTCATCATGTCGATCTGTCGCTGCAAGGCCTCCCGCTGTCGTTTCAAGTCCTCCTTTCGGGTCCGCAGCTCCACCTAAAAGCATTAAAAAATGTGTGATAATTTATAGCCAGAAAGAAAAAAGTAAACTAAAAAAAGGTATGTTGTTGATGAAAACCGTAAACTATCCAATAGGACTCCCCTGAAGAGCAAATGTACGCACAATCCTGTCAAGTCAGTAATCAGTAACATAGCTTAAATATTGCACATGAAACTACAAGAAAATGTGCACTGTGAATTCCTCAGTCATATGGTTTGCAAACTTCCCAGACAATATCAAGGGAGAGATAGATTTATATCCTAGTTTAGAAACAGTTAAAATAAAGATGTGGCTAAGAAAGTAGATGAGAAATGCTATCTGGAAGAAAGTAAATTAAGCACCATGCTGTGTAAGAGTTAATCAGTCCTTTGATTCTCATGAAGTTTCATTCATTAGGTACAATAGCTTGGTTCTCCCGACCCTCCATATGTAAAAAAAAATAATTTGACTACAATAAATGGCGATACAACTTCTTTCCCCACAAAAAAGAGACCTGAGAAAAAAGCAAGCAGCAGTTTAAGTTCCAAATCCAGCCCCCACCATCTAGCTATCCCAAACCACCCCCTAACCTTTGGTCCATGTTCTCACCTTCTCATGTTCCAGCTCATGTCTGTCTCTCTCCAGTTGCTCTCTCTCCTGCTGCAGCTGGCTGCGATCCTGCAGCTTGACACGCTCCCACTCCTGCCTCTCCCGGCTGATGTTCTCCTGCAGGTTCCTCAGTTCCTCCAACTGATCGTGGCGGTAAACGGACCGGCGGCCATGCATGTCAGCCGACAACTTGGCAATCTCCTCTTTGGCCTCGGCAAGTTCTGCTCTCAGGCTTTCCACTTTGGTGTTCTGCTTGGACGTCAGGTTCTGAAGGCGAATTTGCTTTGTTTTAGAGTTCGTTTTCGTTTTCAAATGAAATAGAAATTGTTGAAATTCAAAATATTTCACTACATGTACTTTTCCATTTCAAGTTTTTGAAACAAAAAGTTTTAAATTTTCGATGAAGAATAAAGATGTACATAATGCTAGAAAAGAAAGTCATGAAACAGAGATATAACCTGGAAATATAAAAATAGTCAGCAACTGAGTTGATCAGAGAAAAGACTATGGGAGTTAAAGGGAAAGCAAACACAGGAAAAAGGACTTGGAGAAAGTACAAAATGATAACTTGCGGGAAGACGTTGAGAGAAAGAATAACGACACATGTTGCTTCCTCAGAATTAAAAAGTTCTATCTGACATGTTTGGCTGTTTTGAGTGACTAAGACCATGAGGTCAGAAATCTAATGTTCTATCTGCTTTATCAAAATCGTAAGACTAATCAGAGTAGAAATCAAGATATTCAAAGAATCGCATTTGAAAAAGTTTGAAACATTGTGAAATATTGTAAAACTCAAAATTTTGGACACCAAATTAATCAAAACTAGGTACTTAGCAAATAGAACTTTGCAATTCTGAGGTAGTGATGTGCCTGCTACTCACCATGAGAGCATTGAGGTACTGCACCAGGTGAGATATGGAGGTCATCTGTTCCTGATTGGCCGGGGATGGAATAAGGGAAGACACAGAGGCGGCTGACAGTTCACCCAGTGACCCGCGGTCACTTGACCGGTCCGAGCTGACCTGCTCCTCCCACAAGTGGGCGTTGCTGCTGTGTTGGAGCGGGGACTGGCTGCTCAGGGCGTGCGGGCTGCTGGAAGAGGCGGGGCCCTCCACTGGGTGAGGCTCCTGAAGAAATTGATGAAGACGAGATATGACACATGAAGAAGGAACAATTTCATGGGACAAGACTTGCTAGCAAATAATAACAAATTACTGGTGCACGTGAAACTAAAAAATGCCGCATTGACTTCTACATTACACAGCAGTGAAAAAATTGAAAATATGTATGTACAAACTCTAAACATTAGAAATTAAGTAATTGAACAAAACATTCCTTAACATTTCACGCATTCTATACACCAGTAATTAGCTGTCCAATTGAAGATTAAAAAACCCCCAACCAAACTCCCTCATTATATCTCATTATTTTGCTGACATGCTTTATACTGGCATTCAACAAAATAAGGTTTCCAGTGAGAGTGAGAAGTACATTTACGTGTCAGCAGTAGTACTGGGCCCAGCCAGAGAGGCTGATGCACAAGCAGCACACACAGGCAAGTCATGTCAAAGCTTAACAACCAATGGGACAAGTGTCTGCTGAAATCCCTCACCTTGAAGACCGGAGCCCCGTCTGTAGCCTCCGAGAAACTATTGTCAGCTTCCTGCTGGTCTAGACTGAGCATGCTGGCTAATTGTTCCTGGTCCTCTTCCTCCCCAGACAAGGCAAACCTCTGCTTTACAGCATTCACTGGGGGAAACACACAGCCAAATAGGAATAATGACATTACACAGTAGATATTAATCAGGAGGTTTCACTTATTTTTTAAATATACTATTAGATATTTTTGCTCGATTTCAAGCTTTTACCAGCCATATAAGGGTATTACTATATCATTGTGCTGTTCTCTTTAACTAAAAAAAAACACTGGCAATTTCAAGAGCTGATAATATACTTTTTCATGAATCCCAGGAACTTATAAAGATAGAAGCATAGAGAACAGGAACAAATAGAACAAAACAATCTTTACATGTGATGCAACACCCAAAATACTTTGACTGAACCAAAATTACTTTGACTGAGAACACAAATACTTTAGTATTTGATTTTGTCCTAAAAAAAGTACCTTTGTTTTTAACTTTATTAAACTTCAGCCGTTCGTACTTGCAAATAGACTATTCCAATCTTTACAAGTACATAGAAAAAGGATCAAGAACTGAGTGGACAAGACATTCTTCAAAACTCCAAACATAACTTCAATGCAAAAGAGTCATTATTTAAGTAAAACATCAGACCGGCTCATAAAGACACTTACTTTTGGGAGACTCGTGACTGCTGTCGAAGCCGGCAAAAGTCTCTGCACGTTTAGGAACCGGTGTGGCCACGAAAGAGGAGCTGTGGTGCTCCCCGACACTGCTGACGCTACGGCTGAGAGCTGTACCGGAAACTTGCAGGAAAGTCGTCAGTTTGGAGGCTGGGAGACAAAAAAAGTGCCCAAGTTAGATAATATATAAGAAAGGTTCGGTAAACAGAATGCATACCCTTAGCAAATCAGAAGTTTGCTTTTGATGAAAAGAAAAATAGCATTCTATGTACATGGAAGGTGTGAGTGTAACTCAGTGTTTAGGGTACAGTCTTGGAAATTTTAGGAGTTTGGATCTACCTAAAGGTATAACCCTTTTCCATTATATGGTGACTCAATTCATTCTCGGCCATAATCATTAAAATGTGAATACGCCATTTCAAACGCTCCAGTGTAGTACACAGATAACTGAAGAGGAGGACATCAGGCATTTTAAAGTACTCACTCAAAGAGACAAGTATGTAGAAAAACAAGACTTCAACAACAGTGCATGCCCAAATATACTTAACACAACAGCTGTCTTTAAATGCAGAAGGTTTTTACATATTTCTCCAAGTCCTGTATCTATTGCACAAAATTAAAAAATCTTCAATCATTAAACTTTAAAATGCAGATCAATTACCTTCTTCCATTGCAGCTTGGACTATTTCAATCGATTCATTGACACAGACTATCTCTTGTGAGTTGGGTCTCTGGTGACAAATACAGAAAGATGAAAGTTTGTTAAAAAAAATCACCATTATGAGCAAATTAAAGAGTAGCAACCATGAGTAAATCAATACAAAAAAAGCTAAAACGTTATAAAATAAAAATATATCACTTGTATTTGTGCAGGCATTTTGTGCCTTTTGCAATATGTAATTCCACGCTAAGCATGCATATTATTTGTGGACATTATGGAGGAAGGTGATGGGAGGAAGACTTTTCTTAGTACCACACAGCTCCACTGCTCAGGGAAACACTCCGTCATACAACCATTCTCATAACAGCCTATTGCAGAGCCTTACACTAAGCAGTCCGTCTCCACTCTAAAATTATTGGAATAATAAAACTTGGGAGAAAAAACACACTTCACATGGGAATCTAAACTCATACCTTTTATAATAGTAGTAATAATAGAAGCCCTGTAGCAAACTTCAAATGATGACTAGCACAATTCCTTAGACATTTTATTTTACAGAACATATGCTAAGCTAATAAAGTTATAAGTTTGGGTCAATCAAAGATACACACCAAACATCATGAAGTACAGAAACCTATATAGTACCACTACTACAGCTATTGCACCCACCGAGCCTGGCTCCTTGCGTGGTGCTGACATCTCCATGAGTGTTGTCATCAACTTGTTCTTCTCTTCACAACATTCTCTGATGTCTTCATCCTTCTTGTGGAGTTGATCTTAAACAAAAATCACACCAAAGAAAACATTTAAATCTCAGCTGTTATAACAGTATTGCTCATCATTTCCCTTCACTATCCTGTAAAATCTAAAAAACAACACAATATGCTTATTCAACTCTCAATGATCATCTAATGCACATGGATGTACTTATTCTTGTACAAGTGGAATAAAAAGTTTGATCAACAGGACACTTTATATCTTCCCATAAATCGAACACTTTCAAGTATTTACAAAAAACTCTGAAACTATTATATCAGTCCTCAAGTATCTTTCAAACTGATCCATTCCAAAAATATCAAAACAACTTACCAATTATCAGTTTGATCTGGTTAGCATGCTCCTCTTTCTTTCTCTTCTCTTCTTCATTGTTGGCAGTGAGCGGGGCAGATGCCGAACCAGAATTCTGATCCGGCCACAACATGGGGTCCACATCAGGTGGGCTGGCTCTGATCGCTTCTTCCAGCAAGCGCAGCCAGTCCTCTCGCTCACCCTTGGTTTTGCACACAAGCTCGTACATCTCCGGCGTGGCACGGTTCTGACTGATCATGTAGATGCCCAGACTGTCACGGGCGTCTCGCTTCTCCCGCACCAAAAGTCGGTACAACGGAATCACACACGACTGAAGAGGAGACAGTTTATTTGAGTTTGAGTTAGTTTAGTAGAAGTTTTACGGCGCTTGCAACTGCATAAGGTCATATGAGCGCTAAAAGATTAGAGCTGTTACAAGAGAGTAACAAACATAAAAAAAGAAGAAGGGGAGATAAGGACGATAGATGTTAGACAGGAAAGAAGAAGCAAACCACACCAGAGCACCCGCCAACCACCCACAGTTTGAGTTAAAGAGAAGCACATGATAGTGTTGGTAAAAGAACAAGACACACAGAGAAATAATAGAGGTTGAGTAAAGAATAGGACCTAGAACAGGCCCCTCTAAGATCAGCAAAAGAGAAAGAATACAGCCAGAATCTGACTGAAATTTTAAAGGGTTCCACCAACTACAATCGACGGTGGGTATTGTAAGTTGTAAGTGGAGTGTTGGAAATCAGACAAAAATGTAAATGAAATCCAGCAAACTGTTCTATTAAAAAAACGTCACCTAAGATCAAATCAAAACAAACTATTTGTGCATATTTTCTCCCCAATACATAAACAAAAGGAAAAATGTATTACTCAGAAGAGCTGTTAAACTGCACTGCACATTAAGCGAAAACGTTATTTTAGTCACAGTTTAAAAAAACGTTCAATTCCTTCCTTTATAAAAACGCTTATTATATAAGATGCATATTCATTTAAATTTTAAAAATGGTTAAATGAGAATAACACACTGTCTATGTAAGTCTGTAATCATATATGTGCCCAAAAGGAAAGAAGTTCTTACAACCAATGTCTATTTATGTGACAGTATTTACCTTGTTATCCTGTAACAGGAAGGTGTACTTTTGCTCATTCTTCTGAAGGAACACAATGAGATCAGTGAGAACCACAGCCAAGACATCATAGACTCGACCTCGCGCACTTTTCCAGCCAATCTTGCCTGCGTGTAGCAGCTCACGACTGTCTGCTGTCAGGTCTTGGCGCTGAGAACATACAGCATGGGTCATCAGTTTATTTTAGTAAGAGTTTTACGGCACTTGCAACACAATAAGGTCATATAAAAGCCGAAGATTAGAGGTATTACAAGAGAGTAACAAACATAAAAAAAGGAGGAGAGATAAAGACGATAGTTGTTTGATAGGAAAGAAGGAGCAAACCACACCACAACACCCACCAACCACCCACATAGGTCATCAATTTATGGATGGGAAAAATACATCAATCGAACAACAGTCCTTTAAAGAACAGATTAAGAACACAGTGAGACAGTAACTATGAACAGAAGTAGAAGGCTCACACCATATTAAAATTCCAACCCGACCATCCCAGAAGTAAAACCTTCTTGCTAAACTCTTTAGCCACCAACTTAATCAAGGCTGACATTTGTTACTAAAGAAAAAGCCATCAAGGAAGTTATTTGACAATATTCCACTCACTTTGAATTTCTTCCCTTTGTACGTGACAGCTCGTGAATCCAGCTTGCTCTGTATGTCAATAAGTTTCTCGTAGGCTGCTACCTTCTCATCCACATGCTGGACCACGTCTTTGCTCATGAGCAGTGCATGGCTCAGATTTTCACGGTCTTTTTTGTCTGAGGAAGCGAAATCATAACATGAGGGGCAGCTGTTGAGCTGCACAGTAGAGTAGGAGTCTTCAGTACGATAATGTCCATATTTCATAAGGAAAAGACAAAAGGCTATGGTGTCACTTTGAGGTAGAAAAGATAGCAGATCACACCAGAGCATCCATCAACTATCTGCAGGTACAGCTGAAAGGCTACATACCCCATTCCACTGGATATTGAGCGGCGAACTCTCTCCAAAAAAGTGATTACAGTGTACACAATAAATAACTATTTTTAAAAATGTGCCACCATTTGCACCAAGATTTTAAAAAAATGTTTTTGGTGATCAGCATCACATTGGAAACAACAATTACCACTTAATTTTATTCCTCCAACCAACAGTGATTTCAATTCTTTTTCCTCACCCCCTTTTCAATAAGCACGTCAGACCCTAGGACAGCTTAATTCACAGGTAACAGAAAAAAAACTGTTTAACTCTATCTTATTTTAATTATCTACAGGACCTTAAATACAAGTGACCCTTTCATGTCAGATGGATAGGTTTTGAAAATTGTTCCCTCAAATCTAAGAAATACATAGTTAAGTTTGCACCAAACAACATGACATAGGTATTGTTTCATAATTCTGAACAAACATTTGAGAGGTCCCAATAAACCTTTTTCTGCATCTCGTTTATACAGCCAGAACTTTTATAAAACCCACTGAGGTGGACCTCTTCTTTCCACTCACCTTTTGTGCTCTTGAGTATGGCCTCTAGAAGAATGGGATACTTGGAAAGGCGCACCGTTACACCGAGGATGAAGTCTGAGATGTCTCGCTTCTCACACACTGGGAGATTGGTACATCTCTGGAAAATTTCAAACATGACATTCAAACTGAAATGCTAGCACTCAAAAAGAGAAACAAGAAAAAAACAAACCTCCTATATACTTGCCTATGCCACATCAATGAAGATACAGCATAAATGGGGGCTCTCGTGGCCTAGAGGTTAAGGTGTTGGCCTCTCATTCAAAGGTCCCGGGTTCGAATCCGGGTAGCGACCAAATAATTTTCTTCTCTAAAATTGTCTCCTTTCACCTCCTTTCCTGCTCTCTAGCAATGTTCTGTTGTCTGCTTTCATTTCCACTTTCTGTTCCCACCCCCTCCTTTGCCCCCTCCTCTGGGCTCCTGACTCTTTCTGCAGCCTTTCTACTGCTACTCCTTGGCTCCTCCTTACTGCTGTCTTTCTGCCACACCCCTGATCTTCTGGTAGGAAAGATGTACACCTAGCCTTCTCGGACAAGGGCGAAAAATCTCGGAGGGCCCCTGTGCAAGTTGTGCACGTTAAAGATCCCTTGGTGGTCTAAAATCGATAAGAGTAGGCTTCGGCCGCCACCCGGGCAAAATTCAAAATTTCCTACCAACTGAAAATATTAGGTGTGTCCCGCGCGCTCATATGACCTATGCAGTTGCGAGCGCCGTAAAACACTTTACAAAAACAAACAAAAAAACAGCACAAATCAATTATATCGTGATATATAGATGGTAAGTTTCTTTACAGATTACTTGTCAAAACAATTCTGAGCTGACATTTTTAAACTTTACGATTTCGTAATACATAGTTAATTTGGGAAATTTGGGAATCTGAATGCATGCACCTGTGATTTATGCACTGATTCAACATAATCGCTGCAAATACCAAAGCTACAATTAAAAGTCCAAGGAAACATCAACGTAAAAAACTACAAAAACTTCTGCAAACAAATCACCAACTCACTTTGGCAAAGTTTTGAAACTTCCTGTCAACTTTAAGAAATTCTTTATACAACTGCATAGCCTCAGTGTGCTTAGAGCAGAACACGCCGTATACCATCTTCATCTTGTCTGCTGTTCCATCTTTGAACTGTTGAATAAACAATAATTCAAAATTGTTGTTAAATAAATTCACTGTGAATTGGTGAACTTGAGAGATGACAATATAACCATTAATGAAACCCTATTTCAAATCTCTTCTTAAAGGCACAAGGGATATACATGAACAGTCATATGAAGACAAAAAAATACTCACAGGAATAACTTTTAAACATTAGAACAGGGATTAACATATGTAATAGAGTTTAACTTTTCAAAAGAAGAATTGGTAATTTTTCCACCAATCCAGAACTGTTCTATTGCCATCAAGTATTGGAATAAAACAGAAAGTCTAGGAGCAAGAAAATGCAATAAAATCACCACTGGCCTTGGAGAGAAGTCACATCTAAAATACATTTGATTACAAGACAATGTCTACAATGAGACCCAAAAAAAAATATCTTGCCTGCCCCACGAGGACATCTCCGATCTCATCAATAGATCTGTCGTCGTTCTTGGCTTGCCGAGCCAACAGTTGGCGAAGGAAGTTGGCATGAAGTTCTACTAGGTCATCTAGCCGAGGAAACAGACGGTCCACTTGCTCCACTGTGAAGTTCATGTCTTCCAACATGGATTGTGAAAAGATCTGTTCACAGAGGGAGATGGTCACTTATGAGAATTCCCATTGTAAATCAAAAATCAGTTCAACACTGGTGAACATTTTTTGGGACTTTTTCAATACCTTGAGCAAGTACATAGGCAGTCTACTTGTGGCAATTTGGACTATCAGTGATAAATAAAAGGAGTAAATTAAATGTAAACTTTCATGAGCACAATGGCAATAGGCACTCGACTAAGATCAAACTAACATGCATGGCCACACCTATAACACTAGCAAACAGATATGACATATTGAGATTGCATCAGATAGCAAAGTTTAAAAAAAACCTGTTTCTTTTCATCAGCTATCATTCTTGTTTCTCTCCATTAGCTATTATCCTGTTTCTTTCCATTAGCTATCGCTACATAAAAACTTTGACCCCAAGATTATCATTAAGAAACAAACTCCATCTTAAATGAGATAACATCAGACTAAATTGTCACAGTGCCTGGTATGTCAAAACAGAGAATGACAAGAACCACTGTACCTTTTGCATAATTTTCAATCGCTTGACATACTGCTTCTCTGTCTGGATAAGTTCTGCAAATGGACAAATGAATCAAGTATTAGAACAGAGAGCAAAACAATGAACAGGCGTCGACTAAATTCATGACTGACTGGAAGTGAATTTATATAGAAATGCTACCTGTAAATAAATAGGAAAGTTTGCACAAATAAACGACTCAAACGTGTATACATTTTGTTTTCTACTTCAGACCCTGAGAGATTTTCACAGGGCACAAATAAAATTCCTCCAATCTGTTTGTTGCTTTATGTAAAATAAACTGTAGTGCCTACTTATACAGTTTTGTATATTAATCTCAGTACATGAACATACCCCATATTGTGTCTTGACGCTTGATATCCTTTGTGTTCAGTTTCTTCAGGGTCTATGGAATAAAAATAAAAAACAAAATAAGTTAAATATTACAGTGTTAAAATTATAGTTCAAGAGAATAAAACAAAAACTTCAGTTGTGCTTAAAAATAAAGGAGAGGTCTAAAATGTGTGCTAAACTCATACTTTACTTCATGAAAGCTTGAATTCTTTCAAAGAAATTTCAATCTCAAAACAAAAACTGAGAACAGAAATCTCAATAAACTATTTTTGGTGAGGGAGTGTGATTATCCAACCAATTAACTTAATGCAATCCAACCAACAAGTCTCTCTGTGACATGGCCTACTTTAAGTTAAACTTTAACTGTCAAGTTCAGAGGACCTCACAGCTGACTGTTTGTTTACACAGAGAACACAAACAAGTCATTAAGCCCAGCCCCTCCCCATCATTCAGTGGCTGTCACAGTGCTAGTTTCTCCCCCCCCCTCTCCCTCCCTCCCCAATTGTGCTCAGCTAGCATCTCCAGGACTTGTTGACCAGGTTGTGGTACATTCCAGGACAGACCTCCCCCCCCCCCCCCC